ATATCATTTTTATTATTTCAATAATGAATTATAATTTAATTTTTTTGTTAAATTTTATTAAAAAAAGAATAATGATATAATATAATCAAATATCGTTATTTTTTATGTATATTTTAAAAGCATATATTATATTAATTTTAATACATATATATAAACATTGGAATAAATTCATTTAAAAGCATACATATATTAATTTTAAGATTTATTAAATATAATGCATATGATAATCAATTCAATTAAACTTTGGAATAAATTCAAGCGAAAAAATTTATAAAATAGTGTAGAAAATTCTTTTGTTTAAATTGGTAAAAATTAATTTTTTTTCTCATTCTTTCTTTTCTTTTCTCCTTTTTATCTTTGTTTATTTATTTTATTTATCTATCTGTCTGATTATTTACGTGTCATTTTGTAAAATATAATGCAAAAGATAATACGTGCATTTTAATAATTTTTTGAATTGTCAAACGTGAATATGGATAATAAATAATGGTAATTGAATAAAAAAATATCGCAGAAAATTATTTAGAGGAATTCCCATTTTTTTAATTTACTTTTTGAAAGCTTTTCCAGCAATAACTTCATTCTCTAAATTTAATATCAAATGTTATCAAAATGATTTTTTAAATTATTTTAATTGATAAAAATATCGTTATACATTAGTTGACATCCCTACATCAATAATATAAGACTTTTGTAGGAAAGTATAATGTTTAAAATAAGAGAAACATGGTATGTAATAAAGTATCTAAACCATTAATTTAATTGAAATACACTAATAATCAAAAAAGTTTTACTCTGTTATTTAATAATAAATTGACATATTAATAAGAATTGTTAATTTTTATAAATATTTAATATAAAAATTATATTTATAGTATATTCTAATTTATTGATAATGTAAAAAAAATTACATTGTATTACAATTAAACTCATAAAATATAACCATTTCCATGTAAAGTTCATTATATATGTATTGATACAGTGTGAATAATTATTGAATAACATGACTTGACTGACATCTACATTTGTAAGACTTGTGAAAATTTTCTAAAAGTGCTTAAATTTCAATGATCAATTATTGAAGAAATAAAGTTATGAAGTTAGAACATTAATAGTTTATATTAATAGATTATTTCACGTTTCAAAGGCTAAATCTTTTAGCAGGGACGCATCGTCGTAATCATTTGTCTTGAGCAATAGTAAATAGCTGTAAACTTATTTAATATAGTGACATGCTCTTAGGTTAGGGTTAAGGATCAATCATTGAATTTCTGGAATCGTTTTTCAAACTCTAGTAGCCACTTTGGTGATTATAATTATTATATAGCTAACCATCTTGTCAATTATATTTTTATTTATATTTTTATATTTAATTTCGACAATTAAAATTACAATTAATTGTAGATATGTATTTCGCAAGTACTTTTACGATAATTTATTTTTCTTGTTAACAATCCATTATGTTATTGTTGTTAATCTAAATTTTATTATAAGCATGATTGTTAAGGATAATTTTGTCATTTTATAAATTTTTAGGGGTAAAATAGTCAATTTTCAAATATTAATTATTTCTTCTGTATTATATTATAGTTTGTTATTTAACTACCTTAACTTGCTTCTAAAATTTTAATTTAATTAATAAACTATTTTATTTATTTTGAATAATTTTATAAATCACTTTTCATTACTTACTCATTATTTGATTTATTTCACATAAAATACTAATTTTGTAATTTCTATTAACTTAATTAAGCTCAAAAATAATTTTTTCCATCCAAGTTTTTAAATAATTTTTATATATTTTAAGAATTTATTATATTTATTGTCATTTGAATTATTTTATTTATCATTTATTTGATTATTTTAATATTATTTCATGATTAATCATCTTAATCAACCCCTATCTACCTTAATTAATTAATTGATTATATGATTAACTTATATACATGTTAAGATCAACTAAGAGACTAGGTTATTCTAAATTTTATGAGTCAAATTTAAAATTAAAAAATTTAATTTTTTAAATAAAATCAATTACATATTAATATGTTCACGTGTCTTCATTTAATTGTTTCTTTGCATTTTTCATGATTTTTTTCATTCTTCTATGAATCTTTGTTCTTCATGACTTTCTTGAGGTCCTAATATTTTCTTAATTTTATTCCATGAATATAGCATTCAAAAATTCAAAAAATATGCTAATATTCTTTAATATTGTGTTCTTATTTATAATTTGATTTAACAAGTTTATAAAAAAATTTGAATCTTCGTTACAACAATTCAATCGCTCGTTAATGATGACTATAATACAAGTGTAAAGCATATCATCAATTAAATGCAAAATTTAAAACACAAATAATCATATGCATACATCAGTTCAACCAAAAACAAATCTATATTACTATTAGAGTTTAAGATTTTATAGATTGAAGAAACTTAATTGTAACCGTTTTTTTATGAAAGAATTTCCTTCCCAATCTTTGTTCTTGATTTGAGTTTTTTAATTTTCTTTCTTTCACTTTCTTTAAACCTTTATTTTCTTCTTTATTGGTTTGATTTTTGTATTTAGAGACAAGTTTGATTGCAATTTTAGGAGGTAGTTTGATGAAGACTTAATTATAAAACTATATCACATTCTATTAACTTTTCTCTTAAATTTTCTGAATGTTTTGTGTTTTATAAACTTTTTGGATGTGCAAATCAACCATACTATCTTAAAATATTGTTTATTTTACACTTATGGTAATAATCAATAAAAATTAAGTATATGAAGTTTAAATTTTTTACAAACCAAGCAAATTTTAGTTAAATTTTTCTAATTAGTTTCCACCAATTAAAATAGAGTTTTAGACTTATTAGAATTTGATTATCCAATATTATGATAGTATTATGTCTTATACAATTAAAAATAAATAAAACTTAGTATTAAGATTTTACTAACTAAATAAATCTAGTCTAATAGTGAAATTTGTTAGTCTATACTTTATTTCTAAAATTTTCTACCATGTAATATTTATCTAAACCATTTAAAACATGAATATTAGATTTTTTTTAACTTAATTAGGATTGCACACCTTTAAATTAAGATTTTATTTATGAAAATTAGGTTTAAGTTTCATAATGATACATGCATAAGCTTTTTTTACTTAATTAAGGTTTAATTTTTATAATTAAACTTTATACGATTTATAACTTATTTTAGATATCAAACAAGATTTTTTATTCTCACTCACATTTTATACTCATAAATAAAAACAGTTTATAAAATGATAAATTAAAAATTAGTGAAATTTGATATATTACAAAAATGACATACAACTTTGTTGCTAAATTAACATTCTCATTTAAAAAAAAAATTATGAGAAGTCAATGTTGTCTTAATAAAGCAATGTTGGGTTTACAATTGATTTTTGAATTTTAACTTTATTTTAAAATTAGTTTAACTAAAAATAAATTTGTTAATAAACTAGTTTAGTCAAAACTAAACCAATTTTGAAAAAAAAAATATTTTGATTTTAAAATTCAAATAATAATATTTTTGTGCATTATATGGATAGTATTAAATTAAATATTTTAATTAGATAATAAAAAGTATTTATAGTTATTTTAAATTTAATAATTTTAAAAAATATAATTATTTTTTGACATAATAAAAAATTAATTCTTAAAAACATTTTAATTTAAGATAATTTTTAAAAATATTTATGTTTTAAAATGAGTACCCACAGTTTACATATAAAAGTTAATTTACATAAATAATTTAGAATATCAGATATGATTTGGTTTTATAAAAAAAGTATGTTTTCTCGTTTTGCAAATAATTGTTAAATTATAATAAAATTTAAAATCTTTTTATGCATATTTTTTAATTATTAAAATTTTAAAATAATCTTAATTGTTACAAATAAATTTTTATTATATTAAATTAATAAATTAAATAGGTAAATTTTTTAAATTTAAATTAAATTATAAATTTTAATTAAAATTGAATTAAATAAATTATAAAGGTAAATAAATTTATATTCACCGATAAGGTTAACCATTGCAATTTTCCTTATAAAAATTATAAATTATTTAACTAAAAATATTTTAATATTTCAAAATTTATTAAAATTAAAACTAAGCAAACCCATTTTTCGACTTTTATTTTCTGAAAATAAGAAATAAAAGAAAAAACAAATACATTTTTAAAATTTTAAAATTTTAAAATAAAAATAAAAATTCATCTTCATAAAATGAAGGAAAAAATTCAAAATCAATTTTGATTAAAATGTTAGATTTAAAAATAGTTTTGGTTAAAATAACATATTTAAAATTGAGTTTTGCTAAAAATTAAAATTTTAAAAGTAATTTTGGCTGAAAAATTTAATTTATTACTCATTTTGAATAAAGATTCAATTTAATACTAAAATCATATTTTAAATTATTCATGTTTAGTCTTCATATATATTTTTTAATTTTTTAAATTAAGTCTCTTATTAAAAATTTCATTCAATAATTAATAAAAAATAATAAAAATGTAATATATCATTAAACTGTATAAATTTATTAATAAAAATATATAAAATAATTAAATAAAAATATTTAATTTTATTACTTTATTAAAATATTTTATAGATTTTTCTTATTAATTTATAAAATAAATAAATATATTATTAAATATTTTTAAAAATAATTTAAATAATTTAAAATGAAATAAGAATAATTTAAATTAGAATACAAAATCGTATATAAATTAAATATATATATATAAAAGTTACAATTATTTTTTATCGATAATATAAAGTACAGTTAAGCCAAGAAAGAAAAAAAAAAAAGAATCGTACAAAAGTAAGAGGTAGGAAGCCCACGCTAGACCCGAAAGTAATGGTACTTCGGTAAGGAAATATTTGTAGCTGTTTGAGCTCTTAAGAAAATGAGCCCAAATCACAAACCTAAACTATGGACCAAATAATGAACATTTCCAAGTTCATTTGTGCAGAAAGAGGCTATAATAGGAGCGCAAGGCACAGCAATAGAAGCAGAAGAAAACAAACAAGAAAAAAAGGGGGAAAAAAAATGGCCATGATGGAGGGGGGCAACAACAACCCTGAGGATTTAGCGGTGGGGTGCTTGTTGTCGATTAGGACAACGTTGGGCGACGAATTCGAAGGCCAAGTTATCACCTTTGATCGCCCCTCTAATATCCTCGTACTCCAAGAAGGTTCCAAATCTGGCCCTCGTCGAAACATTAGGTTGTTGAAGGCTAATTACATCAAAGACTTCACCTTGTTGGGTCAAGCCGAAGACCCACTTGATCCAAACAACTGTTATCTTGACCTCACTGCTCTCCAAGCAAGGGAAGACGTTGCCATCAGGTTTCCATTGCAATTTCCCTACCTTTTCTTTTTCTACTTTTTTTAATTGTTTTCTGTGGTGAAATTAATCTGTGGTTTCTACTGATTTTGTGTTGTAGACAAGCAGAGGCTGATGCTGAGAGGATTGGGGTTGGTGTCACCCCCGAGGCACAGAACATCTTTAATGCTTTATCTAAAACGTAAGTGCTGAGTGAGTGAGTGGATGAAATGGTGGTGAATTGAAGCAAAGTAGTGTGGATCAGGGTTTTCGCTTTCTCCTAGTTTGTTTCCTGGCCTGCATTTGTTAGGATGACCTGTGTTGCATGGATACTGATATGGTACTGTGAGTATAGTAATATAATTTTTGAAATGCATATATTTCGGTGTGGAACGTAGATAGAATAAAATATTTGTAGACTGTTGTGAAAATATTTATGATAAAAGAATTAATGAACTTGTTTCCAATGAATAAGGCTGAATAGATTTAATTGAGAAGGTAAACTCAAATGGGAAAACTGAGGGTAAGGACTGAGGCGAGAACAACCCTAATTTTAACTGAAACATTGGCATTTTGACATTTTGTTATGGAAAGAATTGGTCATGCAAATACATAAGGCAAACTTAGCTATGAACTTAGATATGTCCCAAGGCGCAACTGGTGTAATATGTAGTTATTGATACTGTGTTAAAGCGCCGTTGTAATGTTGTAGTGGTGTGGATCAGTGTTGGGCTGCTACAGAATTTGCATGGTGCAGTCATTTGCAGCGCTATACTGATGCTACACAGGCATATTGAAATTCCTTTTTGCCCTCAAAATTGCATCTTTTTGGAGGCAAAGTTGACATCTCCCCTGCCTCTTTCAGAACTTACAGAAACCCTTTGTTTGAGAGTTTGAAGAGAGAGGGAGTGGTTTGAGAAGTAAGGGAAGAGAGGAGAGAAGGGAAGGAGAAGGAGGGTTAGTGAAAAATCTACCAATTTGAGGGAACTTAAAAACATGAATTTGTGGGGCTTTGGAGGGTTTGTTAAAACTATCTCTCACATTTAAAAACTCGCAAACATGGGTTACCATCTTCCTCTGTCTTTCTTTCTCTCTTTTGTGCAACCAACAGCCAACCACCCTTTTCTTTATTCTGTGCAACAAATAGCCACCCGTCTTTGACAGTGTTTGCCACTGATAGCCAAAGATGTGACACATTACTTGTATGTTTTGCTTATAACTGATGATTTTTTTTATTGATTATATTAATTATGAATATGTAATGAATTTTGAGTAATTTAAAAAATCTCTGAACATGTGTAATATGTATAATATATTTAATCTGCATAAAACGAATGAAAATAGCAGTCATTCTGCTATGTGTTATTCCAAAATAAAATAAAAACATTTATTGATTATTAATTTTCTTAGTTGTGTACTTGTACATTTTTGGAGTTGGCTGCTACATGCTGCCATTTGTGATTAATAACCTTTGTCTATTAGGAGTCATATCCAAGCCGTGTACTCATTTTTCCAAAAACATAATTTTGATAAGTACTTGAACATGCTCAACATGCTATACCAGGTACAGGTATGACTCAAAATGAAATTTCCATGCTTATGAGAGGTGATTCCTTGGCTTGCTTTCTAACTTAAATGAGAAAGGAATGGTTTTTTTTTTCTTTTTCTAATTTTTAATTAGGGACATAATAGTCAATAGCAGCCATTATTGCAGCGGAGCGGCAGGGCCCTGCTATGGAGACCCAGTCACATCGCGTTATCGGCTGTCGCGCCTGTGAATTGTGGCAAAAATAGGGGAAATCATGCCCTTTGTTTTTGAATATGGGACGATTTTAAAGGAGAGGAGAAGGGGGGAGGGAATCTTGGGATCTCGCCCCCTCTTATTTTATGATATCTTCTTCTCCCTCTCTCACGAGCCCTAAGCCTCTTATTCTCATCTCTCAGTTCTCCTCTTAGTTTTCCTTCATTCAGTTTTTCATCTCCGTTCTCTGCGATTCCATTGCTTCTAGTGTCCTTCATATTTGGCAAGGCTTCTGACATGATAAAGATGTTCTCTAGCCATCTTTTTCGTCTTTGGTGAAGCCTCTGAGGTGAACCAGACAGTTTTCAGTTGTCTTCTTCAACTCTAGTGAAGATTCCAACGTGATCTAGACATTTTCCAGTCATCTTCATTTCTGGCAAATTTTCTGGCAATATTAGGTATTTAAAATGCTTAAAATAGGGGTCATCCTGCTATTTACGATCCTGCTATAACATTTTTGGAGTCCGCTCTCCAAGATTGACTACTATGATTAGGGATTTAAAGGGGAAGAAAATATGGATGCTAGAAAACTGTTATACCTTTGTTTTCTAGAAGATCTTTTTCCTTCTTGTTCCTAGAATTTTAAATTGTAATGTGAATCTGCAATCATTATCTGTAAGTTGTGGATGTTAATTAATTGAGTACTTGAACTTCTAGTATCATTTCTGTCAGCTTTTCTCAAACCCAAGTTACCCGACTATAAAATTGTACCAGCTATTGTCTATTCTTGATATGATTTTATTCTCTCCTTGCAGTTGTATCAAAATTTTAGTTAAATGTTTTGTGATACTGCACGTTGATATATCCTCCACTGATATGAAGATTGAAGTGTAACTTGAAAATGCAATGTTTATGGATACTTGGATACCAACTGTACTTTACAGGGATAGTATCCATCTAATTTTGTTGCATTTTGTGGCAGAGTCAGTTGTTTTAAAATTACCAAAAAAAAATAAAATTTGGGTATCTCTTAATTCCACAAATTGCATGCATTAGGTATTCTAGAACACTTTTCAGTGCTTCTTGTCTCAGAGCATTAAAATCTCCAGTCCCCACATGCCTTAAGGGTTCCTTTTTACATTATAATCTTCACCCTTCTAGCTTTTGTATATTTTTCTTGGTAGATTAGTTTTCTTTTTAACTGATGATATTAACATTTAATCAGGCTTCCAGTCCGCTGGGACAAGACTGTCATAGTTGTGATGAATGAAGTGCGTGTCAGCAGTCCTTATCACCCCGAATCTGTTGTTGGAGGCACTCCTGCTGCAAATGAGCGGGTGAAGAAAGTGGTAAATATCTTCATTTTACTATTTGTTATGGTGTGTCTAACTGTCTATAGGTTTAGAGTAATAGCATATAAAATTTCGTATAGATTGGTATAACATTTTGTGCATCATGTACACTAGAGTTGCTTGTCCATAGGGCTTTATGATTCATTTTTCATTACACTTAAAAAAAGGCAAACAAAAAATGAAAACTTAAGCAAGAAATGTGTTTTTTTATATGTTAATTACATTTGATTTTTCTAAAAGATGCTTTTTTAGTAACATTGCAACCATTAATTTGAGTGGCCTGGTGATCAGGGATTTGGGTAGTTTGTGTGTGGTTGTGGGTTCAAACTCCATGCTTGATTTTCAACTGTAGTTGTGGTCATGGTTCAGGCCAATGTAACGATAAGGCTGTAATTGCAGTTTGCACATTGCAATTTAAATTCATTGAATCAAAGTTTTGGTGATTTCTTATGTATGACAGTTTAAGGAAAATAATGCAATTTATTTCTTGATAGATAATTTACTTTTAGTCTTTTCAAAATAACCTTCCCGTCTTGCAAAAAATTTTATCAGTTAGTACTTGGTTGATATTGATTTTTTATTTTCCTTTTTCATATAGCTTGAGTTGGAGAAGAAGAGGTTGCAACGTCGCACTTCTGGTGGTCAGTGAAGTTTCACATTTACATCCTTTTATGGTCAAGAAAGCAACTCCAAAGAGGAAACATGTGATGGGTATGTTGCTTTTAGCAAAACCCTATACAAGAGGGTTTTTCAAGGCATATTCCTTACTTCAGATATCTTTTGATTACCTGCTGTCTTGAGCTCTCAAGTTCTGTCTTGCTTATGGAGTTCATTTGAGGTACTTCCTCCAGATTCTTCTTAAAGAGTGAATGATGAAGCCTGTGATTTATGGTGTGTTGGACTTGGAACCCGAATAGGTGACTGGGTTTATATAATTTGTTGGTTTACCATTGGGAAATTGACCAATTACAATGAGCTAACATGAACTCAACTTGAGTTTAATTTGTTCCTTATATAATAAACCAAATGCTTTGGATAAATCAAGCTAATATTTCTACCTAAAGCTTTCTAGTTTTGTTCATTCATTATTTCTAACAATTTATGTGGTATAATTTGTTTATTAGGTTGTCCCCACTTAGTAAGATAAGGTTTGATTGGTTTTTAGTTATAATCCTTTTACACTGGTTGGTTGGAGAGAAGGGGAAGTTTAGAAGGAAGAGGAGGGGATGGGGCCGAAACCCTTCCTCACTCTGCTTTTGCTCTCCTCCAAAAGTGGGGGATTTGTAAGGGAGAGAAATATTTAAACTAATCAGACAAAATTATTCTTAATATGTATATTTAAGCAATCAAAATGTATACTAGTTAATTCATTTATTTCTCTTCCTCTCCTCTCCCTTTGTGAACCCAAATAAGGTATCTTTCCTCTCCATTAAGATTGCTCTCCTGCCCCTCCCCTCTTCTGAACTAAATAGTGTTAGGATAGTAGATAGATCTTTGGTAGAATTTGATTGCATTTTGGGGAGAAAGGGGAAGCATTGAAGAGACAAGATACGAGAAGCATCTTAGTAGTGATAGGGCAAGGAGGGAGTATGCTTCCCAATTTCTCTTGGGAAGACTGGGATTTGAAGCTTTGACTGAAGAGTACAAACGATGGGCACTATTTTATGATCTCATCATCCTATTTTCCCTAAGTTTTGAATTTTGATAAGTTCTGCAGCTTAGTGATGCACCTGCACCCACCATACTTCACTTCTTCCGTCTTCTATTGTGAAAAACAAAAGGATTCATATCAATTATCATTTGTCATGTTATAGTCCACAAATGTAAACTAATCAAATGGCAAATACAATCTAGTTCTTGACTTGTTCTGCACCGTTCTGTGATGATTTGCAGTTGTCCTACGTCAAGATTTGGAGGTTCCGGTCTTCCTCTTTTGCATCTTGTCTTTGTCGGGTTTGTTTTGTTGTCATCCTGGGTTCAGGTCTAATTTGAAGTTTAGTCATTGTCTTTAGTGCTCTGTGTTGGTCCAATTCGGAGGTTCTGCTATGTTCTGGTTCTGCGTCTCGCCTTTGACCCCTGCCTTGTCCTTGCACCTGCTGGACCAAGTCTGCTTCATCCCTACAAATGTGGTGTGTCATTAATAGGATTTTTAAAAGAAACGTATCATTGACTTAAACTTGAACCAAATCAACCTTTCTTCATCAGTTTGATTTGGTTTAGGTTTGGCAAAAGTGAAAAATTGGAAAATCAAGTCAATTGATTTTGATCAGTTCAAATCTCTTTCTTCCCAAACCCAAAATAATCTGACTTGTGAATACTAGGACATGATATATTTGTGTTTACTGCCCCGCCTATAACTGATGATGAAAATGCTTTATTGTTTATTTGCTTTGATATTATGACGGGCAGAACATGAATATCATTGAATCCCAAATTCTTGAATTCAAGACTTCTGATAGAATTGACACTCCAAGGTTAATTCTATGTTGTACCACTACCAAGGAGAATAAGATGCATCCATATACCAAGGAAGAAATCCCATTTTTACCCTCATCTTTAACTCATCATACTCAACAATTTCAATTCTAGAAATAACCAACATGTCTCATAAATCCCTAGTTATAGCTCCAAGCTAAATAATTGAAAGTTTCTCTCAAATTCTGGTGTTCATTGGTGATTAATGCTAACCTCTTATGTTTGCACCAATTTCGCGAAACAGCAACAATAATTATGACAATCTCATAAGCCCCAAGATAAATAAGCATTGCTTGATTTACTTCACAGCATGAATCACTCCTCATGTTACAAGCATAATAAGCATAATAAGCAATTGATAGAACCCACACCTTACAATGGTTGATTTGAAAAAAAATGTCTTCGTTGGGTGAAGAAACTAATATGGGTTGATTTTATTTTTTTTAATCTTGGAATTCAACATGGGTTTCAAAATTAATCAACCTTAAACCGGTGATTTCTTACCACTATTTTTTAATAATTACGTGCCATTTGGTTTGCAAGCAAAATTAATTTTACACATTGTAATGCACCTCAAATGCAAAATTTATGAAAAAATAATGAGTAAGTGTCCCAATTACGATTAAGGGTTAAATTTACCTAAAATATAAAATAACGAGAATACTGAATGCCTGATTAATGTTACAATTGGAGTGTTTGCACTTTTACGTTAAAAAAAACTGACCCAATACACCATTTTTTAATTTCGTTGTCAATGCAAACAGGCAATGGTAGTATTTTAAAATTTCGCGACGATAATGATGAACAATGCAAAATCGTTTTTTATATTCCGTAATCTTTAGCTTCCATTAAAAAAAATAAAAAGCATGACTTACGCGGGAAAAAATAATTAAAATACGATTTTGCAAAAGTTAAAATTCTTGGTATGAAGAAATAGACAAAAGATAAAACATGTAACTTCCTGCAGGTAAAAATAAAGAGTATATTGGGATAAAAATTTGGGGGAAAATGTTTTTGTATGTTTTTTTTTAAGTTCCTTTTATATAAAAAAAACACTCTTAAGTTTTGAGAAAAGTAATAAAAATATTATGTTTTTTATGTCTTATTTCACAGTAACTTCTTTTATTATTTTAACGTGCTTTTTAGTTAAAGAATCTTTTTTCTTTAAAAAGAACAAAACAAATAAGTTTTAAATTAAAGACCAAACTTTTGCGCATCATCACTATTTTTGTTTTTATAATTTTAGTTTATTTCATTAGGGAATTTGAAAATTTTAAATATTATATACTAGGAGTGTTCATGACCCACCCTATCTTACAACTCAGTTTGATGTATATTCTTTAAAATTTATTTTTTTAACACTTATCTATTAATAATAAAACTTTTTAACTTAATATATAATATTTTGCATTACATTTTATTTATATTTATTTTTTGTGAAAAGTATATTATAAAATGTACCTGAATGTAAATTTTATACATTTTAATTCTATAGATATACACAATGTTAAGATTATATATCATGTCACCCAATCGAGTTGACTTAATTTTGTTCATACATAACAAGTCTTGATTGGATCCAATTCATGCTCAAATTATTGATCCCATCAAAATTTTGGCCAGATAAGAGTAGGGATACACCTATCTCATTAACATTCTACCCATTATGCAATTATTAAAAAAAATATGACTATATTTTGAATGCGGCCCATTAACATACAAAAAATTGTAAGCAATATATTTTTTAATTCACTTCTTGTAGTTAGTCTAGTTTAAAAAGAAAAAAAAAATAAAGCATTTGTTCATAAATTGATCACTTTTTAAAAATTAACATATCCCAGAAAAAATATGCCATAGTATTTTAAAAAGAAGAGTAAACTACTCCAACCTCTATTTTCTTTTGCGCTCATTACAAAAACAAAATACTATCTACTTTTCAAACCTACACAAAATCTCCTTTGTTTATACAATCTATACAAAAGTCATTCTATATGTTAAAGTAACAAAAAAAATTGCTTATTTTAAGTTTATACTCGATCCACAAAATTCAGTAATTTTAGGCTTTTTTTTATATAAATAAATTAAAAAAATTATTATTCCTTAAATGTCCTGAAAAAAATAAATTTACGTAAATATCTTAAAAGTATATGTAACAGAAGTCAATTTAAATCGATTTTTACTATAGGTTTAATTTTTTTTTTTACATAGAAGTCAATTTAAATTAACTTTCACTCACATATGAATATGTTTTAGAAAGAAGTCGATTGTAATAAACTTTGTAATGCAAAATTAAAGTTGATTAGAAAATTTTTTATTATAAATAAATAAAAAAATTTCATTTGAAGATGAGAAAATTTTAAAATTGAGTATGAAAATTGGAGTAAGACGATAACATGTATTAGCAGTCGCTTTGCACCTCTGTTCTTAAACTTTACAACAATTTTTGACACAATAATATAATATGCTGCACACAATATGCATGATATGCTGACAGGATGTCACTCATTTCTTGTAACTTCTGGAGCTAATTTGATTGCATGATAACTATTAAATATCACAAAAATATCTTAGTATGACATGTTGACGGACATTTCTATTAAACTTGTTTCATATAGAGAATGAAATTTATCTAAGTCGACTTTAATTATGCATTACAAAGTTAATTATAATCGACTTCTTTCTAACACATATTCACGTGTTAGTAAAAGTTAATTTAAATTAACTTCTATTTAAACAAATTTCAAAACTAGAATGAAAGTTAAATTAAATTAATTTTTATATAAAAATTTAAAAATAGAATGAAAGTCAATTTAAATCGACTTTTGTGTAAAAAAATTTCAAAAGAAGAATGGATGTTAATTTAAATTGACTTCTATGTAAAAAAATTTAAACATATAATAGAAGTCAATTTCGTGTAAAATTTTCAAAACAAAAACTAAAGTCGATTTAAATCGACTTCTATTATATATATTTTTAGGATATTTACTTAATTTTTTTTCTTTTCAGGACATTTAGGAAATAATAATTTTTTAAAATTTATTTATCTAAAAAAGCCATAATTTTAAGCATTACAAATACTTATTTTCATATTTTATATAATTATTTACAATGAAACCCATGTTATAAGTATTTTGATTATTTTGGAGAGCTAAAATTAATTATTTTTGTTATTTATTTTCTTATATTACTCGAATATTTATTTTAAGAAAATTGAGATATAGTTAATAATATTAAATATTTATTAGAACGTGGGTTTACTCATAAAATAGGAGAAATGTTTTTGTAATGTTTAAAAACTATAGGAAATTTTATGAAATGAGTCTAAACTTAAATTAAGGGTGTTTTTATCACTTTAATCGAAAAGATAAAACCCGATCATTGGTAAACGATTCTGTTAAATACAACATTAAAATTAAATTAAAGAATTATATATTTTCAAAATAGATTAGATTTTATGTGAACTTTAAAAATTGAGATTTTTTTATGGTGAAAAGTGTAAAATAGAAGAATGGCTAAAATAATTTACTCTTAAAAATATGTATTACTAGCATTCTCTGCATGGTTAGTGACAAAAAAGATACACA